AGAGGAGGGGGGGGGGCACAATTTTTTTAGTCATGTTTTAATGTAGTTTTAATTTACTGAAGCGTATTTGTATGGTGAACGAACTGACAGGACATCAGCTTAGTTACTTTCTCTTTATTTTCTCTTTACTTTAATATATTTTGTGTCTTTTTTTGTCTAAAATTTTTTATCCAAACAATCCAGGGGGGCAAGGGGCAAGTGCCCCCCTTACGGACGCCCATGTCTGCAGTTTGTCGAAAATGACACCCCTCAATATAGAGAAGAAAAAAAAAAGTGCCGTCCGAGGCGGACCAACAGATTCTTTACATTTTTTTAAAAATAATATTGTCTTTAGACTTTAGCAAATTTTAATTTTTATAAAAAATTTTTACTAGAACAATTAGAATCTATAGAATATATTTGCATAATTAATTAAAGACTTGATGAGGTCTTAATTTACAACTATATTAATATTAGCAGTACATTTATTTATTTATAGTGTTTTATGGAATCGTCTGACAACATACTTGTCTTGTCTAACCATCCAGTGTTTAGAACATTAGCATTTTCTCTGTGTACAATAATTTCCATAAAAAATCACATCTCTCTCTCTCTCACTCTCACTCTCTCTCTCTCTCTCTCTCTCTCTCTCTCTCTCTCTCTCTCTCTCTCTCTCTCTCTCTCTCCCTCTCTCTCTCTTTTCTCTTCTCCTCATATCTCTCTCTCTTTTTTTTTTTTTTTTTTTTTTTTTCTCTCTGTACAATAATTTCTATAAAAAATCACATCTCTCTCTCTCTCTCTCTCTCTCTCTCTCTCTCTCTCTCTCTCTCTCTCTCTCTCTCTCTCTCTCTCTCTCTCTCTCTCTCTCCCTCTCTCTGTCTTTTGACTGCAACTCAAATATGTCACACTTGTTGTTTTTTTTGTTTTTTTATGAGAAGCCCTTGTTAATTTCTTGAGAAGTACGGGGCTGGCTACATTCAGGTTGAAGAATTAGAAATATCCACAGTGTAGTTGTAGGGAATAATCTGAAGGACAAAATAAAATTAAATAACCCTTAAAAACAAAGTTTTTCGTATAAATCCTTTGCATGCATTTGTGTTTGCATTTATGAATGTAATTGTATGTGATTTATCATTGATGGTATGGGAGTGGTTTTTATCAAACTTAGTGCACGTTTCGTAGTCCATGGTTAATGCCACGGGGGCAGTCCAAGATTTTTTCCCGCCCACTGATGTCAAGGTACGAGAATTAGTTTGAACGTTATTTGGGTTGTGCGTCTCAGTCGTTAGGAGTATTACCCGGTGTATGTATTAAATAAGACTTTTTTGATACGTGTAGCTGTACAGTGTGTAGGCGTGTAAGCCTACTGTTGTTCAAAAGTTAAGATGAACATGCGTTGGACTACTGTTTTTACCCCTATTGGTTTTTTTGGACCTTTGTCTTGGATAGTTGTGAATTCTAACCAGATAAGGACTTCTAAGTTTTTTAAAAAAATTGAAAAATTCTCAAAAGATTGAGTACCGGTACATCAAATATCTAGGCATAAATAAATTTTAAATGATATAATTCATTCTAATTATCTCTTCTAAAAAACACCCCCCCCCCCCCCCCCCCATAGAATGAATGCTTCACTATAAGTTACGTTTAGAACCTGTCTGTAACCACATACATTTTATTTTAAACTAATAAATGGGCACCTTATCAAAAGTGCGTAGTTGTGGAACCAAACATTTGAATAGAGTTCAGCAAACTTTTATGAGAAAGAAGCCATTAAAAAAAATAAGTCGTGTGAAAGTAGTGTGATTAGGCATATAACTTTATCTAAAAAAAAATTATTAAAAATTGACTCTTCTCTCCCCTTTATAACTTCCAATCCCCTCTTTTGTCGATGAAATTTATGGACGACCCCAAAAGCCCAGTTCCGCATCATCGGTGCTGTGTTGACCATTTGAAACTATAAGAATGTTTAGAGCCATTAAAACTTCATATGTTTTTAACATTTATTTAACAAAGAAAAATAATTGTGGACAACTCCTGACACCTTCTCCCCTACTTTGTTGACGTAATTTATGGACGACCTCTAATGGTATATAACCCCAACCCATAAACATAACAAAGCTCAAATATGGAGTGGAGCTGCAATAAATGCGTGAGTGTTGCATGTCTTTGGTTGGCACAGTATCAGTTTTCCTTTCAACAATGTACCGGGAGCAAGGGGGGGGGGGGGGGGGGGGGGGCATCTTCCTGTCTGCACTTAAATTCTATTGTTGAACGTGTTTTGTTGCGTTCTTTTTTATTCAGGTTTTCGCATAATTTGTTTCACTCATTTCCATTTTCTAACCTGACTGCAATCTCTCTCTCCCCCCCCCCTCCCTTAATTCCCATCGTTAACACGAGCCGATGATTTTACAGGTGTGCTTAGGACTAGTCTAGCATTAACATGGTATCAAATTACATGTCGGGTGCCTGCAAACAATTACTGGTGACCAGGTTCAGCCATCACGTGTGCCTCGGATATTTAAGGTTTCTAACTTTGTTGTGAAAGAATGAAAATAATTAGTTAGAATACTCAGAATGCAGGGGGCACAAACCCAAAATGTGGAGGGTGTCCTCCAAAAATCAATAATATATGTATTCGAGCTTTGCGATTTTCTACGGGTGGGTTAGTTACTTTGGAAGGAGGTATTTGTCTAAATCAGGTCCTTCAACCCGAGGCACCGGAACCTTTACGGATAACGGACCTTTGAAAGAAGGCTGCATCTATAGGTACCCAGGTACCTATGGTCGCCAATGACTATTCGCACCCGGAGTGGCTCCGTACATATTAAATGGCTTCGGAGCCGGGTGTGATAACACTAATAACATGATAATTATTTTTTTAAATTGTTTTTTCTCCTTATTTCATTGATTCATAGTTTTATTATTTTTAGTTGGTTTTGTTTTTTGCTTCGTTAATTTCTCTTAGTACCGGTAGATTTTTTTCTTTCTTATTTTCTTTTTTTTACTTTAAGCCATTTTCGTAGATCAATTTATTTTTTTTTAAATCTAGTAATGAAGATAATTTAGATACATTTATTGTTTTCATTTGAATTTTAGAAAAGTAATAATATTGATTTAATTATTAAAATTAGATCCTTTATTTAAGATTATTTATGTGTATTGTTTAAGTTAAAAGATTTAATCACACAGTACTTTATGATTTATTAGGCATTCTAAATAATGAAAATTTCATTCATAATGAATAATTTCAACTATTCCTCTAGAGAGCTTGCTTAGTCAGAACAAAACCACCAATTTTAAACTTTTTCCTTGGCACTGTGAGTCATACATGCGGACACTGACTGTTTTTCCTGATACCTCGAATCTCCTTTCAACAATCTTTCTCATACTTGACCCAATTCACAAGGTAGTTGGAATGAACATCATAAAGGATGCCATTTCATAAAAAATACAAAGAGATTTATTTTTGGAGGACTAGCCTTTTTTTTTTTTTTACCAAACATGTCTACTGGATCTAACACACTGGTACATAATTTAAAATTTAATAGAAAAAAAACCCTTCACTGGCTTGAGAACATTTTTGTTTGGCTATTTCTTATTTGAGTTGTGTACTCCAGTAATCCATAAAATAAATTTGGGGCCAGTATTGAGTAGGCAGCCATTAACTCATTCATTTGGGTCACATCATTCCTTTGCCATTTGTCTCCTTTTACTTTCTCACCTTCTTTGTTGGTACCCGTACAGTTAACTATTGTTTGTATTTCATCTTCTAAGTACAGAAGTAATGATTGAGTGGGAGCAAATATCTGTGATCCGTGAAGGGAGTTTGGTTTCAAGGCAACTAAGACGACTAAGTCATGCCACATTGAAAATAAAATACTGCTAACCTAAATAAATAGAGCCATTGAAAAAAATATAGTACATACAAACCATACACAAACAGAAAGACAAAAATCCACTCAAGTTTTAAAAAAAAAATTTGTTGTGACTTTTATTGCAAAAAATTAAACATTTAAAAATTTTGACTTCACGCAAAATGAATAAAGACAAATTTGTATTGCATTGTATTGTCCCTTATTGTACTGTATTGTAAATGAAACTTGGCATACACATTAAGAATGACATTGACAAAAAGTTTAAAGAAGATTATTACACAGCAGTTATTGGAAGTGTTACAAATGGCATTATGTGGGGGTCACATAAATATTTGAGACCTCTTCAGGGGTAGCAAATTTAAAAATGTTATAAAACTTTCTCGTTGGATATATATATATAAAAAAAGCCTCTTGAATTTCGTAAAGAATATCAATGAAAAGACGCATGCAATGTTTGAAGGCTGTAGCTAGAATACTTTTTCTCCCGATTCATTTGGCGTTCCTTAAAAATCCGGAAAATGCTAAGTTGAGAAAAATGAAAAAAAATTATAAAATTGTGTTTTTTTTTAAATTAGAGGCTGCATGAACGATATAGGATGCATACACCATGTACATATATCCTTCATGATTTAAAAAACAATTTAGAAAACTAAGACAGAAAAGATAGAAAAAAAAAATTAACACACGAACCTAAAAAATAAAATACATAAATACAAACATTCTGAAAACTTTTCTTGTGAGACATTT